TCTTCCCCGTTGCTTGAACAAACAGCAGTGTAAATAGCACTTGCAATGAGTGTCAGAATATACCAATTGGTGGTGAAACCGTCGTCTGCATATTGTATGAAAAAGTTGTTTTAAACAGTACAGTAATCCTTTCCACAGTCTTTGTTTGTAAATCAGTCCATTCTCTGTTTCTGTCCAAAATCAAAAATAAAGAAAAGTAATGCAACAACATGGCATGGACACCCATTTAAGCTAGTATGGACTGCTTATTGACTTGGAAAGTGCTACTTATTGTTAGTCAGCGGCGTGGTTACATGGCTAACAACCTATGCACTCAGACAAATGTTTTAGACGACGAGAGTTAAAATCGCAGCACGGAGTTAGCAATGTAATTTTAGTGAATAAAACATGCCTGAAATAAAGCATTTGTACTACTAATAATGTCAGTGAAGTCGTTCGACGGTAATAAAAACCGCTTTGATTCATTACTATCCTGGAATTAGTTAAATCTATTGTCATTTACCCAGTCCGGCTAACATTTGATTCCCAAGAGGTACTGCCGAAAACTATAGGGATTTGGGAGTCCTCGTTCACTAATTGCAAAACTCTCATCAAAGTTCAGCGGGCAACAGGGAAGCTGCGCAGCCAAAGGAGATGGTAGTAGGAGGCACAATATCAACATTTAAGAGGCATCTTGATTGATACATGATTAGGCAGAGAATCGAGGGAAACCGTCTACGTATAGGTAAGTAGGTTTTAGTTTAGAAAGGTGTATTGCCTCGGCGCAGGCTTCGTGAACTGAAGGGCCTCTTCTTGTGCTACACTGTTCTTTGTTCAGTGGTTAGTGAATCTGTAGAATTCTTTACGGCAGTAGGCTGTTGAGGTTGGGTTATTAAGCAAGGTTGAGAGTTTTTTTTAATCAGAAAGAGAATCAAGGGTTAATTGAAACATAGAAACATAGACGCTAGGAGCAGGAGGAAGCCATTCAGCCCTTTGAGTCTGCTCCACCATTCATCAAGATCATGGCTGATCGGCCAACTCAATAGCCTCACCCTGCTTTCTCCCCATAACCTTAGATCCCATTCGCCCCAAGTGCTATATATAGCCAACTCTTGAATGCATTCAATGTTCTGGCATCAACTATTCCAGTAGTAATGAATTCCAACGGGCTCACCACTCTTTGGGTGAAGAAATGTCTCCTCATCTCTGATAAAATTGGTCTACCCTGAATTCTCAGACTGTGGCCCCTGGTTCTGGACACACCCACCATCGGGAACTTCCTCCCTGCATCTACCCTGTCTAGTCCAGTTCGAATTTTATAAGTCTCTATGAGGTCCTTCCTCATTCATCCGAACTCCAGCGAAAACAATCCCAACCTAGTCAATGCATCGTCATACACTAGTCCAACCATCCCCGGAATCAGACATATGATCCTTCGTTGCACTCCCTTGAGAGCAAGAGCATCCTTCCTCAGGAAAGGAGACCAAAACAGCACACGATATTTTAGGTGTGGCCTCACCAAGGTGTGATATAACTGCCATAATACATCCCTGCTCCTGTACTCGAAGCTTTTTGCAATGAAGACCAACATACCATTTGCCTTCTTTACTGCTTACTGTACCTGCATGCTTACCTTCAGTGACTGGTACACAAGGACAACCAGGTCTCTCTGCACATTCCCCTCTCCCAATTTACAGCCATTCAGGTGGTAATCTGCCTTCTTGTTTTACATTTATCCAAATTATACTGCATCTGCCATTGAGTTGTCCACTTACCCAATCTGTCCAGATCATGCTGACGGATCTCTGCATCCTCGTCACAGTGCACCTTCCCTCCCAATTTGGTATAATTTGACAACATTGAAATGTTACATTTTGCACCATTATCCAAACAATTAATATAATTTGTGAATAGCTGGAATCCCAGCACTGATCCTTGTGACACTCCACTAGTTATTGCCTACCAATTTGAAGAAAAGACTCATTAAGCCCTACTTTTTGTTTCGTCTCTGCCAACCAGTTTTCTATCCATTTCAATACACTTCCCCCAATCCCATGTGCTTTAATCTTGCACAATAATTTCTTGTGTGAGACATTGTCAAATGCTTTCTGAAAGCCCATATATGCCACATCGAATGGCTCCCCCTTGTCAACTCTACACATCACATCTTCATAGAGTTACAATAGCTTTGACAAGCATGATTTCCCCATCCTAAATCCATGGTGACTGTCTGATCCTGCCACTGCTTTCTAAATGCTCTGCTATAAAGTCCTTGATAATGAATTTGTGAATTTTCCCCACTACCAATGCTAGGCTTACTCATCTATAATTCCTTGTTTTCTATCCATCTCCCTTTTTGAATATGGGAGTGATATTAACTACCCTCTAATCTACAGGGACTGTTCCAAAGGCTGTAGAATTTTGGAAGATGACCACCAATGCATCCACAATTTCTGTAGCCACTCCCTTAAGTATTCTGAGATGTAGATTATCAGGCGCTGGGGATTTATCTACCTTCAATCCTATCAATTTTCTCAGCACCATTTCTCTACTAATATTGATCTCCCTCAATCTTCCCTTTCACTAAACCTTACATTCTCCAACATTTCTGGTATCTTATTTGTGTCCACTTTTGTGAAGACAGAACCAAAGTATGTATTCAGTTGGTCAGCCATTTCTTTGTCTCCGATTATACATTCCCCCGTTTCTGCCTGTAGGGGGACCTACACTTGTCGTCACCAATCTCTTTCTCTTCACATATCTATAGAAACTCTTAGTATCAATCTTTATGCTCCCTGAAAGCTTACTTTGGTATTGTATTTTCCCCGTCTTAATCAATCCCCTTGTCCTTCTTTGCTGAATTCTAAACTGCTCCCAATCCTCAGACATATTATTTTACCTTGGATTGGATGCTATCTCTAATTTCCTCTGTAAGCCATAAATTGACCCTCTTACCCATTTTGGTTTTGTGCTAAACAGGAAGAAACAATTTTTGCACACCCCCATGCGTTCCTTGAATATTTGTCATCGCCTATCCACCGTCATCACTTTAAGTAACTCTCCCCAATCTATCAAGGCCAACTCACACCTCATATCTTCATAGTTTCCTTTATTAAGATGCAGCACCCCAATCTCCGAATCAACTACCTCGCTCTCCATCTTGATAAAAAAAGTTCTATCATGTTATGGTCACACATCCTCAAGCTGGATTGGCAATGATTTCCTTCTGACTACACAATACCCAGTCTGAGATGGCCTGCTCTCTAATTGGTTCCTCCACATACTGGTCAAGAAAACCATCCTGTATACAATCCAGAAATTCCTCCTCTACGGCATTGTGGCTAATTTGATTTGCCCAATCTATGTGCAGATTAAAATCACCCATGATCACTGATATTACCTTATTCCATCATCTCTAATTTCCCGTTTAATACCATTCCCAAAATCACCACTGCAGTTTGGGATCTATATATGACATCCACTAATGTTTTTCATCCCTTGGTATTTCTCAACTCTATCCATACAGACTCCACATTGTCAGAGCCAATATCCTTTCTCACTATTGTGGTAATTTCCTCTTTAACCAGCAATACCACTCCACCCCCTTTTCCTTTTTGCCGGTCCTTCCCAAATACTGAATACACTGGGACATTCAGTTCCCATCCCTGGTCACCCTGCAGCCACATCTCCGTAATCCCAATTATATGTACCCATTTACATCTATCTACGCAATTAGTTCATCCACTTTATTGCAAAAGCTCCACACAATAAAGCACAAAGCCTTTTTGACATTGTTTGTCTTGGTCTTATTTTTCTCAATAGCACTGTTTGAATTTTGTCATTGGTTTCTCTGCTTATCACTTTTCTTATTCCATCTTCTACATTTTGTTTTTGTTCTTGCTCCCTCCTTCTCTAACTCCTAACATAGTTTCCCATCCCCTGGCATATTAGTTTAAACACTCTCCAATCGCTCTAGCAAACACTCTCCCTAGGACATCAGTCCCAGTCCTGTCCAGGTGTTACCCGTCCAATTTGTTACAGGTTCCAGCTCCCCCAGAACCAGTTCCATGAGTTATGGTGAAAAGGCAGGAAAATCGAGTTGAGGATTATCAGATTATTGGATGGCACAGCAGATTAGACGAGCTGAATGGTCTAATTCTGGCCCTGTGTCTTATGATCTCAAGGTTCACGTCAAGGAGAGACTGTTATATGAAGGTAGATTGACTCGATTGCTCCTGAACTCATTGGAATTTAGCAGAATACGATGTGACTTAATTGAAACATGTTAAATTCTTTGTGGATTTGTCAGGGTAAATGCAGAAAGGTACTTTCTCATTTTGGGAGAGACTAGAAATAGAGGGCATAATATCAGTATATGTGGTCGTCAATTTAAAACAGAGATGAGGAGGAATTTCTACTCTCAGTAGGTAGTGAATCTATGGAGTTCACTCTTTCAGAGTGCTGTCGATGTTGAGTCATTGTATTCAAGGTTGAATTGAATTTCTTTTAGCAGAAAGGCAATAGAGAAAAGGGCGGAAAGCGGAGTTGAGGATATCATGAGATCAACCACAATCTCACAAATGGCGGCACAGACTTGATGAGCTGAAGCCCTACTTCTGCTCGTATGTCTTATGGTCGTATGCATCTTGTGCATCTGAACCTTGTACTTCCTTGGGTCAACGTTTTGTAATCAGCAGCGACGTTAGACTGGCGAATAATGCAACGCAATGTCGAAACCCGTCTATCTACACCTCATATCTGTCTCCCATTTCGCTGCCAACAATTTCTTGAATTCATCCACCCTTAACAGGTTTTATCCAGTTCCCTCCTTGCTCCAGTTTTTATTCTTTCCTCAGACTGCATTCGTTTTTTTTTTAATCTACCCGTGTGAAAATCGCGAAATCGAAGACAACTTAAAAATCCCTGACTATTGTAAAAAGATTATTGGAAAATCACTGAAGGTGAGCGTCACAATTAGCGAAATTGAGAGAGGTTTGAATCCGAAACTGCTGCGTTTGAAAATGGCTTCCGGAGAGCGAGGAGAAAACTTAAGCGAGGAGGCAATTTGTCCGAATTTCTTGACTTCTTCACAGATCCGGTCATGCCGGAATGTGGGCACAACTTCTGCCGCTCCTGTATCACCCAGTTTTGGGAAAAGAAGGAGATAAACTCGTGCCCGGAATGTCGGGAGCTACTTCCAGAGAGAAACCTCAGGCTAAATCTTGCTGAGAAAGCTCGCAGATTAAATTTGAGTCCAAAGGAGAAGGAAAATAACCTTCGCTGTGAGGACCATCAAAAAGAACTGAAGCTCTTTTGTGAAACTGACAAAAAATTGCTCTGTGTAATTTGTGTCGTTGGGCAAAAATACAGAGAACACAAATTGCTGCCGATTAAAGAAGCTGTTGAAGTCTACAAGATAAAAGGAAATAGATTTCAGTAGCTGTTTATTTCATTGTCGTTTCATGTTCCAAAGCCTGTGATTGTTTCTTCCAAACCCAGGCTCAGATGAAATGTTCCATAAATTCTCTCTTGGAGGAGAAATCGACTTTTGTAGAAACGGAACTGAAACATATACGGAAGATTTCTGAAATTAAGGTGAGGTCTCCCTGTGCTGATTTTCTGGCGTCTGGGTTAGTTGTTCCCTTAATCGTGGGGCATTAATTATGTTTCACATTTTATTTTTGAAAGAACAGGCGAGCAGTCTGCAGACCCACATCACATCCGAGTTTACTAAATTGCATCAGTTTCTTACTGAGAAGGAACAGCGTTTAATCATTGATCTCAGGCAAGAAGAGGAGAGGATTCTAGAAGCAATGGAGAAAAACCTTCGTGAAATTCAAGATAATATTAATTCTATTGAAGAGAAGCTCTCACGTTTGCAGAAACGGTTGGATCAAAAAGACGAGATGACGTTTCTGAAGGTGAGATAATTTACTGGCGTTGAGTTCCGTGAAACCTGACAGTGACGTATATTAACTAATGATAGCTGTGACATTAACATTGCATTTACTGATAGGAAAACACAGAAATAGAAATTTGTATCCATTATTAGAGCGTTCTGCTGTTGGCCACCGAATGCTGTGTTTATCGAATCTCAAGATTACTGGTAGCCTCCAAGAAATGAGTTACATTGATCGTTAACATGCTTTATAGACGTACATTTCTCCTGAACCTCTCAAACTGTTTAGTTTAAGTTCCCTGTTGTGAGCGTGTCTCGATCTGCGTTCGTGAGAGTCAACGTGTCTGTGAGTGGGACTAATGCTGAGTTCTATGGTCTGACACAAAAATAATTATCATTCGGTTAATTTTCCACTCAATGGGTCATTGGGAGAGCCACTCGACAAATTCACGAGCCCCAGAAAATCACCTGGTTCTCTGGATTGATAGTCTTTTGATAATACGAGTAGGCCATCGCCGATGACGTAATCTGTTTAAATTCCAGAGCAGGCTCAACGTGATGAATGCACTATTCCTTCTTTGATTTCCAATGTTTCGATGTACCCTATCTATTTTCTCCAATTACCTTGAAAATGTGCAGTCTTAATTCCACAGGTTTGTCTCCCTCTCTCTCTTCCAATATCTGTTGAAATCGACATATTTAACTTTGATAGTCTCTCCTAATTTCTGTTTCAAAACGCATCTCTTTACATCTGCATATAATATCAAATCAGCCAGATAAATGGACACTTCTCTGTCGTTATCTGTTCCCTCCTGAAAAGCGTTACAATAATTCTCACTGTTTGTGGCTTATCTATTTTAGGAGGAATCTTATCGGACGAAAAGGTAAGATATGCTGTTTTCAGAATTTTTGCTGAGTTTTATAAACTGAATGTCAGAACTTATCGGTATGGTGTTAGTAGATTTCTCCCCTGTCCGCAGTTCCAAAATTATATTTGAGAAAGAGTTTGAAATTGGATGAAACCAACTCCTTTATGCCTGTCGGATGTAGTAACCTTCTTACTGACTCTGAGAAACTCAGAACGTATGTTTCAACTGTGATGTGCATCGTAACCAACTTATACCACCTGTCTACTCCGATAAAGTGATAACAAAGTTGAGCCATGTTCATATTATCTTCTGTCCGACAACAACAACAATTTGCATTATATTGGTACCACTTATAATCGATAAGCAAATCATACGGCGTTGTGCAAGGGTGTTAGAATTTAGAAAGCGAAAATCGAGACCACACCATAGATGCGGATATTAGTGCAGACGAGGTAGGGAGGTTTCAGAAGACGTATTAATGAACACAAAGAGAGTGTAGACAGGCAGAGGTTTTTGAGAAAATTCTCGTGGCGGTTTCTGCAGATGAAGGCGCAGTCACCAATAGTGTCCATTTAAAATACGGGATAGTCAAGAATTGAAGTAGAAACGAATAGGATTTTCAGTGGGATGAATGTTCACGTGTTACATATTTGCACAGTCTTTACCGTCGTACTAGGAGTTTTATTTATAAAATAGCAAGTATGTAGGTTCGATGTTTATCATCTGTTCTGTGTAACATCTTAGTCATGATCGGTTATATTATTTTTAGTTCCTTTTCTTGACATGAGTACCTCCATTCTTTGCTCTTGCATTTGCGGCTTATCGTTTGCTCAATTATAGGTTTAAAATTTACCATTCAGTTTGGACCATCTTCGCTCTACCATAAAACAGGGGGAATTTTATTCATTCGTAACATTTTGTAAACGCTCTAAAAATAAAGACAAATTGATAAGATCAGCTGTTTAACGTTTACAGGATTAGTGGGGAATAACAGGCGCTCTCAATTGCAGATGCCAACCTGTCTATTGGAAACTTCAATGCTCCTTTACAGTACATGATGTGGAGACAAATGATGCATGTTATTAATCCAGGTAAACATATTAAATTGGTGGTTACAACCTTCGTGGTGAAAGAACTCAAGCGTCGTTAAAGCCCTGATTAAATGATTACATTAATGTTCTTTAATCTTTGGAAACCTTCCAGGTTTCGACCGATTTCTTTGCATTGTTTCCTCTGGATAAGTGGCTAAATCGAACTGCATTACATGTCCAGCAGTGAAGAGATCTGTGTAACCAGAGGGATAGATCGTAGTTCTTACAACCTGAAATCAAAATTATAGACAAAACTGGTATAGCCCTGTCTGGAGCTCTGGGGACATGTTTTAGTCATCGAATTAAAGATACACATGCACATTGAAGGGCATATGTAAACCGGGGGATAATGAAATAGGTGGAATTAAACACCTTCAAAAGCACCGTTTAATGAAGCTGCGGAAACTAGAGATTAGAGAAATGCAGAGGGACTGTTGTGAATTAGGCAGTATGCGTGGTGATCTTATTGAAACATTCAATATTCAAAAAGAACCTACGATGATATAGCAGCTATTGGTTTAAGGACCTCAGATTCTACAGTAAGGTATTTTTAAACCTCCATGTAGCATAACAAGGCAATGTGGATTGGACGAGCCTGACTTTTGAGTGATCCCATTGATTGAGCAGGCAATGTTACAGTCTTGACGAGGGGTTTCGGCCCGAAACGTTGACTTTCCTGCTCCTCGGGTGCTGTCTGATCTGCTATGCTTTTCCAGCTCCACATTTATTGAACCATCAGTGATAAGAAGCCCAATCCAAACTGAGGGCTGGAGTTTGCTATAATTTTACGGGTCATTTTACCACTGGATTGTGGGACGGTTCTGGGCGTTGTTTAAGGAGGCGGAGTGAGACTCTAAATCAGATGACAGCTCTGGTGACGGTGGAGAACGCGTTTGGCGTGGCATAAAAAACCGATTATTTGGCAGTAGGGATAGCAAAGTAGCGGGCAGTAGCTGTGAAAACAAGGAACGCATCCCTTGGGCATAGAAAAATCCTTGTATAAGACGAAATAAACTCGACCTGGAAATTAACTACTGTTTTCATGCTTGCTGCACGATCCAAACCTTCTCAGAGCAGTGATGTAGTTTTGAGAAATACTTCTGTCATGTAGAAAATGTGAGACTAAACTTGCGTACAGCAAGATCACCGAATCAGCATTTTAATGGTGATGAAGTAATATGAAGCTCCAACTAGCGGCCACTATTTAACAATCAAGGGTTGCCCATTTGCAGTAGAAATGATTTTTCTTCTCAGGTTGTCATAAGTCATTGGAGCTGCCTTGCTGAAAAGGTGGTGAAATAAAATGAAATAAAAATCCAATTCCTGTTAACCAAAGTGATGAAATGTTACCGGGGCAGTTATCCATCTATGAGATCGGCCCGATGGTGTTGAGTGGCCGTTTGGGCCTACTCACCCTCCTTTTTTGCATGTTCACAAGCCATCTATTCTGATGCAATTGTCTCTAGTATAAATATTAAGCAGTTCACTAGGAGAATAAATTCCTCACAGAAATTCTGATGACGTTTCTAGTGCTGCTTTTAGTCCATTCTGCATTTTGTGCCCGTCAGTGTACTTTGCGTCTCTCATGTACCATCTAGTGAAACGTGAAGCTTGCGTTCAATCCTTATGAACTGCATAGAAAGTACTGTGCGGTTTTGCTTCCATTGTAGCTCTGTTTGTGACATAATAACACAGCAGTGTTATTTATGTAAATCAGTTCCCAATTACCATCAGGCTGTGGTTTACTCACAATGTCTACAGGCCATGCAGGAAAAGAGATGATTAACCTTGTTGTCTGGTTATGTGATAAAATTCCCAATGTCATTTGTCCGAAAGTCTATCCAGTTCTGTCAGCCTTAATCACCCTCCCATAATTCTCTTCTCTATTCTTTTTTCGTTCAATCTCCATCTGATCCCACTGGCTTTCCTCTGCCACCCTCCCTCTCCCCTCATTCCGTCTTCCTGTCCTATTTTCACATTCCCTTCCTGTGCCTTCTGCTCCTTTCCACTCTACGATACCCAATCAGCGTCGTCTTTTTTTCTTTCTCTCTCTCCCTCCGTCTTCCCTGTTTCACCCACACACAGTTTCTTCTTCATTTTCATTTTGTCCAATCCTCATTAGATTCATTCCTTAGCCTCTTTCCCCTTTCTCGTCTTGAAAACGCTAAAACCCCTCTATCTCAGTGAATGGTGCCTTTGCATCCCCATATCTCAGTTCTCTTTCACAGCAAAGTTCCCTTCATTTGTTTTATACATATGCCCTCTCAATACAAGCTCCAAATCTTCGTCCTGCTTCCCTGCCTTCTTTCCACTTACCCAATCACAAATCCATCTTGCTTTCTCCCTGCCCAAAACACTATCATTCCTCTGTTGGACACTTTCCTGTTTGCTATCTCTCCTCAAACTCCCCCACCATTATCCCAGCACATGTCCTTTCTGCTCCTGCCACTTACCGTCTCCTTACTGCCGGCCCATTTTCCTCTCAGTTGCTATCCTCTCCCCTTCCCTCCTCCCGCACTTTCTCGTCGATCTCTGCGATTCCTTCTCACTCAAGAGAACATCCCTTTCCACGCAATTCCACTGTCGCTTTCCACAAGTCACTAACTGTCTAAAATTAACATTTCGCTAGTTCCAGCCTCTCTGACTCTGGATCTGAAAACAGCGAATCCCTGACTAATCCTATCTAAGGACCGGAGCAGTGTAAGACTTGGAATCAAACAGAATCCACTCCCCAACTCCGCGGAGACGTTTGATCTCTGTCCCTTTGTCCTGGGATCGCAGGGACTTACGTCAGGGAGACATTACTGGGAAGTAGAGGTGGGAGAGAAGACTTCATGGAGGCTGGGAGTGGCTCGAGAGTCTGTGGAGAGAAAAGATGTAATTAACCTGAAACCCCAGACCGGATAGTGGGTTCTGGCGCTGAAAACAGGACGCAATTACTTTGCCGTCACCTGCCCCTCACTAACCCCCCTGAATCTGAGTGTGAATCCCGAAAAGATCGGGATTTTTCTGGACTACGATGATGGCCAGGTGTCATTTTACAATGCGGGCAACATGTCGCATCTCCACACTTTCACCGAAAAGTTTACTGAGAAACTTTTTCCTTTTTTTCACCCAGGGTTGATTGACAGCGGTAAAAGCTCTGCACCTCTGACAATCTGCTGGATAAAAGAGCAATAAGTTTTCTATCTCTCAATTCTACACTGTCTCTCTGCCTTGTGCCAACTGAAACTTGGTGGAATTGGTCTCCGTTACAGCTGGAGAGAGAAGTCATGACAACATTAAAGTAGAAAACGCTGGGGAAGACTCAACAAATTAGGCATTACCTGTGGAGAAAGAAACACAGTTAAACTTTCTAATCTAATATCATACCTTCAATTCAGGAGAAAAGTCATACCGGACACAAAATGTTAGCTCCGTTTCTGTCTCCATAGATGCTACTAGATCTGCTGAGTTTCTCCGGAACTTATTGTTGTTATTTTAAATTACTGGCATCTGCAGTATTTTCTTTTTATTATAGCCAGGATATTATTTCTGGAATAAACTCTATATTGGAACTGAGAACTGAAAGATCAGAATGGACACCTGCAACAATGGTGATCAGAAGGACAGGGAAAGAAGAATCAAATAAAACCTCCAATGTTCGAGAGGACCTCAGTAGTAAAGATGAGCTGTGAACTGTAGGAACGCAGAAGCCAGCTGACTGTAATGTTTCACAGACTGAAGGTGACGCTACATCGCTATGTTTGAAAAGAATCAATCATGCGGTCTCAGACTGGGGTCACAAAATAATTTCTGTACAACGTTGGTTAGGTGAGGTTAATGGAGAGGGTGGGTGTATTAAAAAATTCTCAGCAGACAGAACAAATGAGAAAAAGAAATCCATTTTGTGTAATTTAGCAAGGGCGTTTTATAAGCCTGCAT